ACTCCGGTCGAGCCGACCCATTCGTGCTGAAGCATGGCTCTCCCACACTTAGATAGAAAGAGAGAAAAATTATAATAAATTATTTGTACTGTGGATACAAATGTCAAATGTCTTCTAGCAGACCAATGCCGAAATCACATAACAGAAAACAATACAATACATTTGGCACAGTCTGTCGTCTTGTCATACGCCATTAGATTGCACTGTCTTTCAGTACAATTTGGCATGAAACCAGAGATGAGGTCAAGCGAAGTAGTTTGTAGTAAGATTTTTACATTAACTGCTAACGTATGGGGATGTTGTGATTCAAGTTTTATTCTTAGCACAAGTTATCATACCATCGCCTTTGAATAGGCTAGATGCCTAATTTTTATTTTAATGTCCGTCTGGTAGATTATTTTAAATCATTAGACACGTATTTTTTATTTTCTTACAGAAACGAATACTTTCGACGATAGATTGATTTGAAATGTCGCGTGACGTCACTTCTATGTACATTTTATACGTATAAATGACGTTTTAGCCCCCTCTCCTATACTTTGATTCGTTTTATCTAAGAATTGTTTTATTATACGACAAAATAAAAAAATCTTGTCTAACTTACGGACTAATTAGATTTTTAATTTTCATACCCTGTCATCATCCCATTTGTCAATAGTTTTTAAGAGTCTTACGTAATAGAAGATGAGGGAGCCTGGGACTGTATCTGATCAAACGACCTTTAGTTATCATCAACAACTGAAAGATGTCCACTGCTGGACAAAGGCATTAAGTCCTCCACGTCGAACGACAGCTCGCCACCTGCATCCACTGGTTCCTCGCAACTCTGGCGATGTCGTCGTTCCACCTAGCGGGAGGCCTGCCCACGCCTCGTCTTCCGCGTAGTCTCCACTCAAGGACTTTCCTGGACTTTCCATCTGCCGTCAGCCCGTCAAGCGATATGGCCTGCTCATTGCCACTAAATCTTAGTTGTTAAAGAGAAATTTAAAAAATCAAAAATTAGATATCGATAGCACTTAGCGCGACGTAGCAATCGAATTTCCTTACTCAACAGTCGAGTCTTTTGCGACCACTTGATCCAAGAGGCAGCCATAGCCAATTTTTCAAACTTAAACATTTATTGTGCTACTGCCTCGTTGGCCGAATGGTCGCGACTGCCGGGTAAGGGGTCTCGGGTTCGATTCCCGGGGCGGGCAAAATATTACTGGATTTTTTAAAAAATCTCAGTAGCACGTACGGTGCCCGGGCACAGTTCCAGACTATTTAATTATTGCCATATACCGGTATATGGCAATAGGCTCACCCCCTAATATACGGGACTCATAATATAAATAGTAAAAAGTGGGTGTTACATTGTACAGTGGTATAATGTGCACCTCTGCCTACCCCTTTGAGGATATAAGGCGTGATGTTATGTAAACATTTCTTGTATGAATTATGAAGGTATAACCTATCTTCATAATTCATTAGTAGGTATAATTACGTCTAAATATTTACAAACAAAACATATTGACGCCACCAAACAATAAACTATTGAATTACTTTATATAAATATAAATCTCAGCAGTACCACGGAGTCTAGAGTTGTGCCCGGTATATGGCAATAGGGGGTTAACCAACCCCCATTACATGGGACTCATAATATAATAGTGAAAAGTGGGTGTGGACCACTGTCCACCGCTGCCAACTTCTTGGGGGATAAAAGTTATATGTATTGTAATACAAATTCATCAATATATCTAAATTCAATCACTTAACAATGAATGACCAGAGATAGAAGATAATTGATAACAGTTATCGTACCTATATAATATGATTAGGAGCATTAATCATATTGTCTTTGTATAATAGTGCTTCTAATCTAAGTTTAATGTATCTTGATCTAATTACTTGTAAGTACCAAGCATGCCAATCTCAAGTTTGTGGAGAGGTCACTATAAAGATTTATTTAGAAGTTCAAGTTCGATTATAGAAGGGCTATTTATATTTTACTAGCGACCCGCCCCGGCTTCGCACGGGTGCAAAATGTATATACATACAAACCTTCCTTAAGAATCACTTTATCTATTAAAAAAAACCGCATCAAAATCCGTTGCGTAGTTTTAAAGATCTAAGCATACATACGGACATACAGCGAAAGCGACTTTGTTTTATACTATGTATTGACAAGCACTTTTACGCGGTTTCACCCGCTATGCTCGGGTCATATTCATAGAGTGGTGTTTCATAGCCTATAGCCTTTCTCGATAAATACAGTATCTAACAGAAAACGAATTATTTAAATTGGACCAGAGGTTCTGGAGAATAGCGCGTTCAAACAAACTTACAAAACAGAAAGCTCCACAGCTGTATAATAATAGTATAATATACGGCTGCTTCATTGGCCGAGTGGTCGCAAGTGCAACGGCCGGGTCTCGGGTTCGATTTCCAGGTCGGGCAAAGTATTATTGAGTTTATTAAGAAAACTCAGTACCTAGTAGCACGGAATCTGGAATTGTGCCTGGTATTTGGTAATATGAGGTGAACCTATTGAGGCTCACCTCCTATTACATGAGACTCATAACATAAATAGTGAAAAGTGGGTGTTACGTAATGTGCACCTCTGTCTACCCCTTCGGGGATAAAAGGCGAGATGTTATGTTATGTTTGTTATAAGATAACCTTAGCAACACTAAGTTTTTTAAAGACCCCTTTTTTTCTTTTTTCTTTTTTTTTATTTTTTTTTTATATTTTAAAGACCCCTGAGTCGATTTTGATGATGGCTTACTTAAACCAAACTAGTGTTAGACAAAATCATACTTAAAACCCATTTCTGATTTTTGGTAATGATAATGACGAGTATTATATGATATTGCTATAAGTGGGCCTTCTCTTTTATCTGTCTATTGTAACCAAACTGATTATATCGTTTAGACTTTCGATGCTATGAGATAATTTCCCTTGATAAAGTTAAACGAATTCTTACGCGCCATTTGTTTCTTAATTGGAATCGTGTGTTAGTTTGATAGGGGTAATCTCCTAAATAGTTGCGCTGTTTTCGAGCAAGTTTAATTAATTAATACGTGTTCTGAATGTTGATTGGCGTAGTTTGGTAGCTTTGTATGTGATAAATAATGCAGTTTTTGGTAATTAAAACAATGAGATGATGTTATCATCCCAAAAAATAATATAATAGTGATAGTAGGTAAGTTGGTTTGTCTTTATATTTTATTGTACTTTTATCTGTGATACAAGGCTTTTCTTGTATAGGCATGTAACTTTATAAGCTTTTTTGTCAAGGGGCGAAAATCGTCGATTGACTGTTCCCGCCTGGTTAGACTCTTACTGACTAAAACCACCCCGTTCCTTCTCCTACACGTCGAGCTGGAGCCCTGGTAACCCGTTAGGTTCTCCGCGACAACTTTATAAGCTCTACATCGCTTATTAAGATATATATTTTTGTATTATTTTATCATTACCAAAGATTATATTTCTATCTACTCAGTCCTACTTACGATTTAGTATAAATATGTAAAATAAGATTCAGATAAAATACATGCGAAAATAGCCATGATTAAAAGTTAGTATCTAAATAAAAATAAATAACATTAAAATAATTACCTATTTGCTTTTGGTAATATGATGGTGACACATGTTATGTAATAATATAATATGTTCATTTATAAAACAATTTTATTTTAAATTATTAGCCTGAATTTTGTTAACATCAACTTTCCTGTTGACATTATCATGATATTGATTGATTTTAATGTCATCATAAGTTTTACATGTAGAGACATTTTACATAAAAGTGATTTTTCCTTTACAGGCACTTAAATTACTTGTGAAGTTTTCAGTAATGAAAATGTCAAGCTATAAATGTGTTTTACAAAAGAAATGTGAAACGGATATTAAATATAAATAAAGTTCACATTTATTAACAGGATATTGTATTAGTTGAAACAAAATTTGTCACAAAAAGCGTTCATTAGAAAATTTGTTATGAGAAGCTTTTAAGTTATTCTCAGTCAGTTCTTTTGACATACTAATACTATAGTAATAATACTTTCCTTTAACATATTCATGAACGTACTTGAGGGTTCTAGCAACCCTTAAGTACGTTCTCTATCTCGACAATTGGGTAGTTTCCTTAATCAAAAATAAATTATTTCCAACGTTTAATACAATAAGATATCAAAAAATAATCATACTTTCATTCATTGGTTTAAGACCAACTTAATTTTAATATTTTACTAGCAAATTTTTAAGAAATAAACATGCTGTTTGACACTAAAAAAACGTGACGTCACAATTTAAAAACTCGTACAAAATTCATAGAAAACTATCGTTTTTGACAGTTCGAAAAAAGTAAGTATTGAATTTGACTAGTTGGAAAGTACCCAATTAATGAACCTAGTAATTAGGTAATTTCAAAATTGCGTCATTCAGAAACTACATAATATGCCTTGTAGTATTGTGGGAGCATTCAAATATGTGCTGATTTCGGTGAAAAACGCGCTATAAGGATTAATATAATAGTAACAATATAGTATTTTGATAATTTGCTGTGTTGTTATCCTTAGACATATTTATAAACCTTAAATGTAGAACTTCTCCAAACCATGTACACAAACTCTGCTATAGCTCAGTTTTTTTTTTTCAATTTCAATCCCGAACTAATTCAACGCTCTAGAGTTACAAAAAAGCTCCGATAGTTAGAAAACAAGTCAGCGATATAAAGCGTCCTTTCATGGGGATATTGAAATATATTTCAGTGGACGGGCAAAGCTTTCAGTTGTTCAGTGTAAGCGCGCCACTCGCGCAGTGTGCACGCCGCGTCGATCCAGACGCGCGGCTAAACGATACCAAAACGCTTCGTAACCAACAATAACAAACCGACATTACTAAAAACCTCCTTCATAAACAAAAAAAAAATCTGACAGTTTAATTCTACATATTCCAAACGTCAAATGTGATTTCGATATTCAAAATTTCTCTTTTTTTTTCTATTCATATGAGTTGCAAACTTTTTGCTTATAACGTTCGATTTGCGAATTTGTTGTTTATTTGTGGTTTCAACTATCTATAACTGTTGTAAATAAAAGTGTGATTAAACATTTGTTTTTATTAATTAAGAAATAAATATGTGTTGTGCGTAAGTGTGTTCGAGAGAAAAGCGGATTGTTTTTCCGTTCGCCGCTCCTCAGTTTGTTTTATTTGGTAAGTTGATTCATTAAATTACAATTACAGCATCGATAATTGAAAATTTTGTTATCTAACCCTTGCATTAAGTTGAAATATCAGCAAAAGAGATAAGATAAACAAAACGATTTGTCACTTTCATGACAGATTTTCTAAATGACTTCATCCATTCCAAATTCCTATTAGCTATCAATATTTACTTTGTTCGTGAGTCAGAATGCAGGAACCAATTATTATACACAGTAAACTGCATATATTTGCCTTCACTAAAAATATACACAAAAATCGTTTACTAAACATTATTGTTTATATTTAAACATTGAACCAATTTGAATTTGAACTGACTCACATTATTTTCTTAGTAAAATGAAGCGTAATACGGACGTGTTGATAGTTTTGAGTGCAATAATAGACCTTGAAATAAATCAAATAGCTGTTACCGCATTTAATTTAATCTAAAGGATTCTAAGTGTTTTGGGATCGTAACAAGTTTATTGAATTGTGATGGGCTGTAGATATTTATCGAATATATTAATTGCAATATTGTCCTGTCTGGCCCTTATCAAGGTTTCAATGGTTTTACTTGTGATTATAGTATACGTATAGTATGTATGTATGTAAAATATGACTGGGTTTTTAAAAAATCTCAGTATTAGCACGGAGTCTGGAAATGTGCCCGTTATATGGCAATAGGTATACCATATAATGAGTCCCATGACTCATAACATAAATAGTGAAAAGTCGGTGTTGCATTGTACAGTGGCATTAAGTGCCGTACTGTGTACCTCTGCCTACCCCTTCGGGGACAAAAGGCGTAATAGTTTAGTTGCATATTTGCTGCACGTAGCAACTCTTTGTGTGGCCCAAAAATTGTTGTTTCGGGCCTAGGTGTCATGTGCATGTGAAATTGTATGTTTGTAAACGCACCCATGACACAGGAAAACCCATAGTGTTCAGCAACATATAAAAAAATTACACTTTATTTATGAATAAAAAATGTAGAGATAGACGTTGGTTTTTTTACACGTAACGTTGTTTCAAACTATGATTTTCTTGATGTTATAACTGAGAGGAGATGCGATAATGTATTATGCCATTTTGACAACTGTTTGTTATTGTTATTGATCTTGACTCATCAATCACATTGATATAAGAGCCACACGATTGCTTGTTTATTATATTAAACAAATAAACTTATTTCGCATTTATAATACTGAGTTGGGGTTGAATTATTTTATTGTTGTCTACCTATAAACATTTATGTATCGGTGCATTGCACATAACAACAATAACATAACATAACAACACGCCTTTTATTCCCGAAGGGGTAGGTAGAGAATAGAATAGAATACAACTTTATTATACACCATTAATAACATAGTACATACAGAAAAGGAAACGACATGAAATGCAGAGTTGACATTATGCCACTACAATGTAACACTCACTTATCACTATTTATGTTATGAGTCTCATGTAATAGGGGGTGAGCCTATTGCCATATAACAACAATAATAAAATATATACATATATAAACTTGATAGCAATAAAACGATGTCATTAGCATATTTTCTTTTTCCTTCCTTGATAACGATTTTCTATTCAAAGTATTTATCAGTAGTGTATGTCGAACAAAAAGACAATTAAGTTAACTTTAAAATTAGAGCATTTTTAGTAAAAGGAATATTTTTTTTAGAGTTATAGAGTTTTTTTTATATAACGTTGCCCCACACTATGATTTTCTCCTGTGTCGTGTGTGTCGTGTGTTTACAAACATACAAGTTCACATACACATGACACCCAGACCCGGAACAACAATCTGTGGATCACACAAAGACTTGTTCCGTGCAGGAATCGAACGCCCGACACGTTGTGCAGCAGCCAGTTGTCCAACCAGCGCTCCAACCGTGCAGTCAAAGTCAGAGTTCAATAAAATGAAAAAAAAAAACGCTAGTCGCCAATTTTTTTCTCTCAAAGTAAGGCTTGTGGGAAAATCTTCTTCACAATGGCAGTACTACACGCACGAGTAGTGCTGGTCGAACAGAAATTAATTGACGCCATTTGTATTCATCTCGTGTGTTGTGGCGTATCAATGATTTCTTTCTTTTATTTGTCGTATTCGTATTTTTGTCAAACGTGTATTTCAGTGTATGTGGCGGTTAAAGCTATGTATATAGATACGTTGCTATTGAATAAAACAGTGAGCAATACTTTTTGTGTAACCCTATAGTTGTTTTTTATTATTCATAAAATTAAGTAGTTGGATTTATAAACAAAATAGTACGGTTATTTAAATTGATATTTTTAATTTAAACAGATTGTATACTGGACAAACACGCATTTTGATCTAAAATTAGTTCTATTTTGGAAAACGTTGAAAGGAGTTCAAATGCAAGCCCAAACTGAAAAGCTTGTAAATCCCTTCCCGTATTTATTTTGCCTCGAACGTGACAACACTTGTGGCGCGTCTAACCAGATCCAACCCTTACCTAAATGACGTACAAATATTTGTCTTGTCTATGTCATGTCTTGTGACGTCATCGGTCTTGCCAACCTGCGTAAAAAGTTATTTTTAGTACTCTTTTGTTAAACACCGTTCGTGTGTTTCGGAAAATTGGTAAGATTAAAAACCACTTTGACGAAGGAAATTGAGTTGTCGATGGCGGTCAAAATAAGTGTGCTGTTTGCAAATTGAAATAGTGATTGATTTATTTTTTAAACGTCTAGTTTGGTTTGGTGATTTGTTCAAAATTTTTTAGTAAAGTCAATTATGTAAATGAAGTTGAAAATATTATTCTAGATGTTTTCCTTGAATATTTTTTTTTGTGCTTTTCTGTTAAGCTTGACTCTAACTAAGTAATTACGTACATTTATTTGTAACAAGCGACCCGCCCCGGCTTCGCACGGGTGCAATATGCATGTATTATACATATAAACCTTCCTCTTGAATCATTCTATCTATTAAAAAAACCGCATCATAATCCGTTGCGTGGTTTCAAAGATTTAAGCATATAAAGGGACATAGGGACAGAGAAAGCGACTTTGTTTTATACTATGTAGTGATAAAGCGATATGCCAAAAAGCAACTGAAGAAAAAGATCCCACTTAAGTAATAAATGTCTCGCAAAGTATATTACAACTACAGACAATAGAAATAAGTCCTAGTAAGAGATTTTCCGATAAGATGTAATGCGTCCTTTTTTGTGACCTTTGTGGATACATTCATTGTCGAATAATCCTGGCTGGCTAACGTAACGCGTCTCGAGTTTTCTGAATCCAAAGATATTATATTCTCAATATAAAAGAGGATAAGATTCTGATCTGGCGTGACATCTTTTTTTATTTTTATTATTATCTCGGATAATGTCGAAGCGTCTCGAAATCAATAAGTCATTTCTTATGGTGTGTGTCAGAAAATATATTATCGTTGATGCCTTTTTTACATTTTCTATTCGAATAAACAAAGATAGATTGCGCAATAATACTGCAACGTATGTGTACGTGTTTGTCTCCCTAATAAAAATCTTGCAACATTTTAACTGCAAATCATCACAATACCTTTATCCTGTTCCTGACGCCTACGGATCTGCTTACCCCTCAGGCAATAAAAGGCTTACTAAGTAAATCCGTAAACTCACTCACAGTACAATAGACAAACTTTGTTGTGATCCATTCAAATGTTTGTAAGACATTTATTCCAACCATAATGGATCGTTAGAAATACGGATTACCTACTAAAATATTTTGATATTCCATTCAAGCGAAAATGAGCCTTATGTTCAATGAATCTTTTATTTTTTTATTATCATTATTAAATGGTAACTCCTTTTTGCGAGTTTGTCGGTCTTCGTTTCGAAATGGATTGTAATTAATTATGACAGTTTGTAAACAAGGGAGAGATTTTGTTTTCTGTCACGATACCTAATTAGTGACATACAACGATGTGACTAACCATTGCGAGTACCTACTCCACTATATCTACACCTGTAGGTATAATTAAATATTACAGTATTCAAATCAATGAAATCAAAGAAATTGAGAATTTAATGACGGAAACGGAAATAATTTTACATAGCGCGAAATTCTATCTTCTTTTTAGAAAGAAAGAAAGAAAGAAAGAAAAAACATTTATTTGGCAATTACACGCACAGAAAACAAAGAATATAAAAAAATAAAAATACATAATATAAGTAAACAAAATACTAATAATAAACTTACAAGAATACAGATCAGAACAGAAAACATCACAATATAACAAAATAATAATACGATAATAATAGAATTAGAATTTTTCAAAGAACTCGGCATTGATATAAGAAAATGATAGTGGAATTGATTTCTCTATGACGCATGACGTAGTCACTTTGCATTGTCTGAAGGAACGTGGGCGGTACAATCGTGCACCGCTGTCGGTGTATGACGCTTACGCCGCGAAGATGACGCGTGGGTGTCGCGGCTTACAGCACTTATTGATTTCACTCGGTTACGTCCGGGATTTTATTTGCATTCGCAAGGACATATATGAAAAATATCGATTTAAAACTGATTATTAGAAAAAATGTATTGTCTACTTATAAAAACTGGAAAAATAAGATTTTGTGTGAGATGACCATCCATCTTTTCAATTAATTAATTTTAATATAATAGAAGAGTAATCAATTGATTACTCTTCGTTTAATATTTCTACTTGAAGGGAAAGAGTGACTTCTATTTTCCAATATTATCATGTAAAGGAGCAGTGCTGTGGATGCCTATTCTATAATAATACTTTTTTTTATTATATTAGATTTCTTTTTCTCCACGGACTCTTGTCCGTGCCCTTGTCATTCAATTACATTTTCTTTTATTTTACTGTCAAAATTAAGTGTTACAAAAATCTTACGTGCTACATTAACCACATTTTTTTCACTACAATGATCTACTATCTATGTAGAATAATGTAGACAATATAATATCGCCCATTGTGCACTATATTAATTGTTTGTTGTCCTTTGTGTTTATGTGGTGTACAATAAAGA